TTTCCCTGTCATTTCCTTGAAGATATGTGTAATTTTATTCTGTAATATTTTAAAGACATTAAGCGAAACAAAAGAAAACATACTGGCTGAAAAGATATATATTTTTACAATGAGGCAAGTGGATGCTTTAAAAAAAATATCAAAGATAGAGTATGCTGATTAAATTTCTTGCAGAAACATAATATTTTATTTTTCTCCCCAAATGAAAGATGTCTAACTCTCAGCAAAAGAGGATGAAGTTTGCCCTTTATCGAGAACCTTTCGTTGTACCATTTAAGGCTGGAACTGACCAGTTTTCAGGTCTCCGAGTTATTCATGGTCTTTGATCTTCTGTACAGTCTCCTTCTTCCTCCTTAAAGTCAACTCTTTAAAGTTCAGTGACAGTTTTTTTTCCTGTCTCTGTCTCTCTCTCTTTGTCTCTTTCTCTCTGTCTCTCCTCCTGTTTCCTGCACACATAGATATATACTGGTTCCTCTTTCTCCCTCTCTTCTCCTACTGCCTTGTTCAGTGCTCCTCCAAGCTATCTCTGGCTCACTGATATGTTCTTCATACAAACACTCTTGAGAAATTTCTCTATTCTGTGGCTTTAGCTATGACGTCTAACGAAAAGATTAGAGATCGAAGGTATAATCTTATCTGGAAATTATCACCAAATTCCAAATGCCAACTGGGACATTGCTATTTGCAAAAGTTATCTCAAACATAGCAACTATATTCCTCAAAAGTAATTTTTATAATTGCAACAATTTCTCTCTCCCCTGCTTTTCACTAACATGTTATAAGTATAGCCATTATTCACTCAATTATTCTGGCTTAAAATTTTGAAGCCATTGTTGATTTTTCTTTTCTCTTATTCCCTAACATTTAGTGAGTCTCAAAAACTAATTAAATCTGCCCATTGTAATACATCTCATATTAACCCCTCTCTTCTTGTAATCTCTGCCAACACCCTGGTCAAATTTCTGATCACGTAACATTTGGATTACAGAAAAAGTTTCCCAACCAGCATCACTGCCACCTGTATCATTTCATGCCAGTATTTCTCCAAACCATCACTCAATGCATTTTCTGGAACATTGCCTTTGTCATTGTCATATCTGTCTTTAGGAACTTCAGTGCTTTCTTTTGTGGTATTTAAGGCTCTCAACTATGTGCATCTGTTTCATAATCTACAACTAATTCCGATGTTTTCTCCTGTATAAACCTTGTCATCAGCTCTGCTGATTTCACTAAGTTGTACCAGCCTGTGCTTATACTGCTTCTAAACTTTTCTTTGTGTTTTTTCCACCCAGAAATACCTTTATACTCTCTCCATTTTTCCTTCACTCAATTGATCACTATTTTTCCAGATGTGGCCAACTTGTCCATGAAGAATTTTCTGAATACATCGTTACTCCCATCAAACTCTATACCATTCACTTCAGAGTGAATCTCCTAATGTTTTGTAGGGGTATGTCTTATCTCCCCCCAAGAGGTTTAATCCTCTTCAAGATCACATTTTCATGTTCATGCCCCAAGCACCTAGTAGGTGCTCAAGTAACGCTGAATTAAATCTGAAAAAAAACTTTTCCAAATCCTGAATTTTTAATAGTCCAAATAAAAATAGAACTTTGAAAAAAGCAAAACTAATGAAATGTTCTGTTCATCATAAGCACATCCAGAGCTTCTGAGATATAATTTATTTCTCTGTCACTAAACTGAGAAAAGAGAATCACAGTCTTTGTTCTTCATTTTACCTAAACCATAAGTGATTTCTGTTCAACTTAAAAAGAATGAGTGAGGTAAAATTATATATAACAGATAAATCAATGGAGTAGATGCTCAAATGAACAGAGTAGCTTTGACTGGATGGAAAAATTAGTTTCATATTCAGGTTGTACCGTTGCTGCAGCTTATTCTCTAAGAAATATAGACTCAGTCACAAAAGAAAATTGAATTAATAGAAAGAGTCTGGCTTAGCGAAACTGTCAGCAGCACCAGAAAAGCATCTGCAAAAACTATTGACTAAAGATCAGCAGACTCATCTGTACATATGAGGGGTAGCTTTATTTGTTATAAAGTTAAACATCTGTAGAATAAAATTTGAGCTTTCTAGAAGTAAAGCACAAAACATCGATGTGATCATCATCAGTACTTTCTGTTGGACACCTCATCATAACCACATCCAGCAGATTGTAAATGAAGTTTTCAAAGCAATTTTTTAAATGGAAAAATCATAGAGATTTTAAAATTCTTTTAGAAATATGTGAATTAGTGCTTTATTGTTACCTTTCTCTAAGTTGCACTTCCTTTTTATTTTCTGGTTCCTATGTCATTTCTCTGCCCTTTGTCTGTAACAAAATGTTCTGACATTTTGGGTTAGAGTAAAATCTAATTTCTAAAGGTCCCAGTTGCTGAGTGTGAGATGGGACCATGTCAGTTTTATATAACTTCTTTTTACTGATCAGTTGCAGAGTTTAGCTTCAACAGTGCCTTCATAATGCCAACACTTTGTCATTACTTCTTTCCCAGTCATTTTCTGAGTTTTATCTTGCACT